GCCTTCAAATGTCCTCTCTCTTTCTCCCTTAAATGGGCGAGCCTCTGAAGCGCTAATCTTTCACTCACTCATTTTGTAGCCCTAATCTTTTACTCACTCACTCTCTCGTTTGCTCTCTCTCTCAACCCTCTCAATGGATCAATTCATCTCAGAATGATACAATCTCGGTGATTCATCTTGGCTATTTCGATTTTCATTTCGAAGTTCATCTTGTTTGGAATCCTCACAGCTTCAAATCTCGCCTCTCTCAACCCTCTCTAAGCCCGTATCATTCTCACAGATTCATCTTTGAGATTCAGAGCGATTTCGATTTCGAATCTCCACCGCCAGCACCGTCTACACCGGCTCGATTTCTCTGATTTTGATTTCATCTGAATCTCTGATTTCGATTTCGATTTCGATTTCGAAGCTCCACCGCCACCACCATCTGCACCAGCGAGGTATCGATTTCTCTATCTCTCACAAGCTCTTCCTTCCGTCTCTCTCGATTTGGTTATTGAAATTGAAATTGTAACCAAGAACTATGAAATTGAAATTGATCGATCTGTGATTCCAGTTAAAAGAAAAAATCGATACGTGACTCAAGATTATAATTTTTATTTATTTATTTATTTATTCAATTGTTGTTTCTTCTTTTGTTTTCTTTCTCGTTTCTTTTTTGGGGGGTTGGCGTTTTGATATTTATGTGGATTTTGTTCTTTAGGGTTTTCAATCTCTGTGAGAAGATAAGCATCATAATTTTGAATAAAGAGGTACCCTCTCTCTCTCTCTCTCTCTCTCTCTCCCTCTCTCTCGTCCATGATCATCAGTGTTTTGTATGTATTTTGTTTGTGCATGTGAAATTTGTGTGTATATGTCAAGGATTGGATACATTTTTTTCTGCTATATGTTTGATTTAGTGAACATTCAATATTTGAAGCATGTAATTTTGGTCAAAGATTGGCTATTCCTTTACTTTTTTATCTTTTTTTTCCCTTTTCTTGGTGTTCTTGAATTGTCTCAAAGAGAGCCATTTGCAGATTTAATGGCTTAAATTGATGCCCTTCCATCTTCGAAGTTTTTTTTTTGGATTGGCCCTCCATTTTTTAAGTTGATCAAACATCCATATTACAATTCAAAGGATTCTGAAGAGTGAAGAGTAACGATGTGGAGATGATCTTTGTTTATGAAATGAGTCAATTAACTCATATAAGGCCACTATAGGACATCAATAATCAAACCTATTTGGATATTTGTCCTATTTTAAGTTATTTGGGCAATGACTTTATGTTACAGGGCAATCTTTTGTTTGTATGTTGTAATGGCCAGTGCAAGTTGATGCATCAAATTCCATTTTCTTATTTAAACGTCTTTTTAAAGGAGCTTGTGTTATGATCCCATCATCCCACATCAAAACACAGAGGCCTTGTGAATATAGGTCTGTTTGGACACCCCCCCTTGCAAGCCGATTTTCGTGGGTAAGTTCTACCCATAGGGTTTGTATCACTTTGTCCAAGGTGTCAAGAGAGAGAACAAGTTTCGGAACAACAAACTGTGTTAAGGCAGCTTGAGGCCATATTGTCTATCCATAAATTGGCGAGAGCGGGATGTCATTTTGATGCCCTGAGGGAGGTTGCAAAACTTCATTTTCTTCCTTTAGATCCACGAGCGCCTGATATTGCAAATGATGCGTTCCAAAATTTGTCAGCCCATGTCCAAGCTTGTGTGCCAGACGTTTTGAAGGTTGCTCTTCATTGCTTGGACAATCTCACAGATTCCGATGGATCACTTCGTGCCCTGAGAACAAAGGTATGTTTGGCAATACAAGTAGATCTTTCTTTCTGTTTTCATTGTCTGATTTGGGTGCCCTTCTACTATAGTCATGACTTATGGCTATTCTGGACTTGTTTACTGTTGATAATGATGATGTTCTTCCACGATGAAACACTGCTTATGGAAATTGAATGTTTATTCGTAAAGTAGAATCGTTCTGACATTTCTCATTCATGAAAGATATTGTCTTAACTTTACTTTGATGATGAGTTTTCTTGGTGCTGAACAACTCTGTTTAGATTTGAACAACTCTTTATATCCATGTGTTATTGAACAACTCTGTTTAGATTTGTTTACTCAATATACTGATGAGAATCTACTTGAATTTGGTTTCTCTTACTTTTCTGGAGCTATATTCTTTTGTCTATAATGCTTCTAAATATGAGGATACATTCACCATTATGTCAATTTCTATGTATCAAAATATATTTTGGTTTATTTAGATGATAAACATTAATTGGAGAACTCAGTAGTGATTAGCAGTCTGTCTATTGGTTAATTTGGGTATTGACTTAAATTTGATTTTTTTTTTCTATCACTCATCTATCTTTCGTTATATTTTTTCACAATATTGTATTGAAGGTCATCAGCCAAAGCTGGGTTTAGCTGGAACAGGTTTGTCATTGATTTATTGATTGAAAAGGAATTACATAATAAAATGTTGATCTAGAACCAGGTTCCTCCTTCCCGTTCTCTTAGTAGCATCATAATAGTGCTATTATTTATCTTGCTTGCTTGTGTTTGTTTTTATTTGCTTGTGTTTGTATTGTTTCTTTGTTTCTATTACATCTATACTTCAGTAATTACATTTTGGGGAGTACATAACAATACAGGCTAAACTAATCTAATTTTTTCTGTATATATGGGCAACATCCTTTTTTATTTGTCAACTTTAAGTGGACTTTGGTCTCCTCTTTGTCCTTAACTTTATAGCTTGCTAGAGGTTTTACTACAGGTTGCCTAGTTTTGTATCTTTTGTTAAATAGCCAATTTAGAATTAATGCAATGTAAAATAATTTTAAAAGATTTTTGTCTCTGTCTTGAAAATCATTTCAGAAGATGGTAAACTGAAGGCTGAAGAAAAAAAGTTTATAGTGCTACATAGGTCCAGAGTTCCTTAAAAATATGTCTGAGAATAATTTCTTCAGTTATCGTCATGACTAAAATTTTGGTATCAAGATATGTCTATGCCAGCAGAGTCACATTTGAGAGATGTTTGGATGACAAGGAACTAACTAGCAATTAAACACAAAAATGATAACATAGGATATGTCCTCATCAATCGAATAAATAATAGCATTTATCCAAGATATTAATGTATGCTTACATGGGCTTCAATAATTGTGGATAGAGTTTTCGCTCGTTTCAACAATCCAAGTTCAATGCGATTCCTTTTCACAGTATCGCGCAGACTTGATATCTCAACTCTAAGAGAATAAAGTTTTCTCAGCAGGATAGAAATAAACTAGCTTGATTAATGAAACAAGAAAAATAAGGGGGTGAGGGTTAAATGACATGTTTCCACAATTGAAACAAAAAGCATAATAGTTTCGTTACCAGTGAAGTGAACTATTATATAGCACATGTGATATGACGCAAAGATGTTGAACAAAACTAGTGAAAGTTTCATGTATTGGGTGCTAATTCATAATCCAGATAACCAAATAATCAGCCAAAACTAAACTAATCTAACCTTTTCTGTTCTATGCTGAAATGAATGAGGGAGTGTAAATATAATTTACAGCCGCCACTAAGAGGTCATTGGTTAATGAGAAATATGCACTAGCACTTTGAGGTTCTCAAGGAGTGCCTGCCTTAAAACAAAATCCATGAATAAATAGGGATGCAACAAGCCAACAAACCTCAATTTCCCATCTCTGGGCATGAATGGAGGCCTCTACCTTTTCATTTGCAAATCTCCACTGCAGATGATGGCTATGAAGCAATTTCAGAGTATGCACTTCTTCTTGATGACTTAAACCTTCCTTCCCCTCCTTGCATCTGCTGCTCATAATAGTGAATGCTAAACTGTGGATTGGACATGGGAAAAGTTATAGCAATACTTTTCTGCTTCTGTTGATTACTGTTAAATTTTTTTGATAAATTGTGGTGACTTACATCTTTATAAATTGTTGAATGTTACCATTGTATTTAGTCCTAACCATGCATGCTATTGCCTTCTGTTTGAAACATGCGTTGTAATAATATTTTAGTCCTAGTTTCTTGTAATTTCTGTTACCATAGGCAAATATACATGTTTATTGTACTATTTGCATCGCTAAGACAGTACAGAAATAAACAATTTGTTGCTAGTCAAAAAAATGTAGGTCTTGTTTGGTTGTGTGGAGGTTTGTGTAAGTGACTTCACTCTAGGACATACTCCAATTTACATCCATCCCATTGTTGTGATTGCCAAGAGAATTGAGTACCATGCCATATAACTCTATTGAAGTGGGCTTTACATTTGCAAATAAACAAAGAGTGAAAAGATGACATATTGAAATATTAATGGAGAAATTATATTCCTTTAGGTGATGGGTGAAGTGTCATTGTCTCTTCCAATCGTGCTCTTGTTACCTTGAGTTAGTGTTTATTTCTGTTTTGCTGATGATTATGTTTATCATTTGCAGGTGGAACGCATCTTGTTCCAGTGGGTCTTGGAGATGATGATCAATGCATGGAAGATGACTTTATTTCTGAAAGGTTAATGGATTTATCACCAAATAGAAATTTCTCCATTCACACCGATAAAGAGGATGGCACTCCACTTGGTGGTAGCTCATTGCTGCCTCTTTTCCCTGCAAATACTTTGAATTGCCACTCTTGTATTTACATACTAGCTTTCAATTCATTGCATAGAATACATTGTTTTTTTCCATAGGTTATAGAAGGTGGAGAAATTACTCAATCCAGAAGCTATAAAGAACTGTTGATGATTGGTACAACATTTGAACAGCTTGTGAATGCTCACAAAAGTTCAATTCCAGTCTTGGATCCTACAATTGTCAGACTATATTGATTTTCTAATTAATGTATGCTAGTGGCTTATTAGATAATATAAATATTTTTAAAATTTTTAATTACTCTCTTATCGATTGATAAAAATAAAAAATAAAAGTCAAAGATTTGTAAAATTAGGAGTAAAATGCTGACCAGATAAAATCAAATGGAAAGTAAAGTATGCAAGTTGTTCTATAGGAACTCAATCAAAGAATCTGATGTGTGAGGTAAAATCTTATTGCTTATTTTGATGTGTGATGTGAAATCTTAATGTTCAGTTGATCAAACTGAGCCTATACTTCATAGGTGAGTATTCAAACCATAGGAACTCATTCAAAGAATCTGATACGTGCACTATAGGAAACTGAGCCTATGGCTGACATGTGTTCTTCAATCAGGGGCCACAATATGTGTGCACTACTTTCTGGACCTTTGTTTACACCAACTGTAGTGGAGTGCAGTAAGTGTTGATCTGTGCCCTTACATTTACTCATTTCCTACACTTTTCTCAGTCATATTAAGCTGTGTGTGATGCATGCTGAAATTTTGCATGATATCAAAGGAAGTCCTGATAAATTCGGGCTTACATAGTAATTAGGTGCACAGTTGCAAGCATGTGGCTGAGCTGAAATATTTCTATTGATAATTTCAGTGTTTGTAGAATACTAACTTATATTAAAAGCCTATAGTGTGCATGTCTTAATTTATCCAGAACAGGTTGTATTTTTGTTCCAGTTGATTTTATCCAGAACAGGTTGTATATTTGTTCCAGTTGCTTTCTAAACTCCTCAATATGTTGAACAAGCACAATTAGGTGGATGATGAAAACTAGATATGCACAAACCTTTAGAAAAGCGTGAGGGATATGCTGAGCTAGACAATAAATTGCAAATTTATTTATTTATTATTATCATTTTTTAATCTCAAAAAATTGTGTTTTCCTGTGATGTAGTTGCCTTCTATGTTACCTGTGGGTAGGGAGTTTTATGCATGCACACATTGTGTCACTTCTGTTATCGGTTGTTTTTTCTCTCTCTCTCATATGAATCTGAATATGATATGATATTTGCATCCAAAAGAATCAATCTTGAACCTCAATTTTCTTCATTGCAGACCACAAAAAGTTGACACTATTAGTAGAGGTAACGATGCTTTTGCCTCCTTGAACCCAATTCAGATTAAGTATTATTATGGGTTTCCTGCAACTGCATAACACAAGAAAGGAAATCTTTTACCAATATATGACTTTGTTTTGAATTGATACTTATAATCCTTTTGCTGTATAGGAATTTGGTTCAAGTTTCAAATATATAAAATAGCTTTATACATGATGCTGGAAAGTTATCTCTATGATCATTCAAATTAGAACCTCAATTCAGAACTATTCTATAGCAGCATAAATTAAATAGATGAGATGAATATAAATTGATTGTGAATTGGCCATACCCAAGTTTATTATCCTAGACATTTCTGCTAAGTTTTATTTTTTAGTTTTTATTTTTGGTGAATCATAGATTATTCCCTCCATTTTCCCATGAATAACAGGAATAAATTGGACATAATAGATTTTATCATTATCTTTTTTCTACAATTTTTCCTGCCAATGTTTTTGAGGTTTATATATATATATATATGTATTCTTTCTCTACTCCTATACACATTGTTAAATTCTTATGAGTTATTACATAAAAGTCTTTGAAATTAGGGCTACATTTGTGTGGATGCATGAATGACCTTTACTTCTAAGCTGGGCTTTTTCTAAACAATTTTATGTTCTTGTAGGAATTCTCACCGGATGGACGATTCATTATTAGTGCTGATCGGGATTTTAAAATTCGTGTAATTGACGATTCTTACCCATTGAAACAAATAAATTATTAAATATTAAATTCCATTTCAATTTGTTTTCAACAATGTTATTTTGTGACAGGTTACCCTGTTTCCAAAGAAGACTTTAGATGGAGCTCATGAGATACAGAGCTTTTGCCTTGGTCATTCTAAGTGAGTGAGTTTTTTATCTTCGAATATGTTGCAGAGCAGATGTGATTTCCATGAATAGTTTTTTGAATAGTTTTTCTCTACAATAGTGTATTAAAGCACTTTTCATTTATCAACAAGAAAAGCAAACAAGTGCTGCAATTCTTTGTAAAAATAGTCTCTCTTATTCTGTGTGCCTTGCACGTTTGCACAAGCTCTCTCTATTGAACATGGAAGGTTGCCCTGTTATTGATGGGCTTTAGTCTTTTTTGGAAAAATAATAAATAAAGAAATGCAATAAATCCCTTAAACAGGGCCTTCTGTTAAAATCTAAATTGTTTTTAAAGTTTCTTTTCAATTCTGGACGAAAACAAAAATTTTAGCTCTAATTTTTGTTTAAATACTATTGAAGGAGTAAAGTTGTAACTTGAATCATAGATTTGTGTCAGGAGCAAAACTCTAACCACCTCTACCAAAAAAATTAAACAATTAAAAATAAATAAATGCAATCAAGTGATTAAGAAAATTAAGTTTACAAATTCTCCAATTTATGTTTATTTTGGTGAATTTGATTGTAATTTATGTTCTGATGCAGGTATATAGACCAATGAAGACTAACAGTGAACTTTCTCAACAATTTGAATCAATTTGAGTTAAACACTTCTTTCTCTGTTAATGTCTTTGTTAAAACATGATTTTTGAATATGTTATTTTGTGATTAATGGTGATTGGATATTAAATTGAATGGGAAAGTGAACTAATGTTGTATTTGATATTTGAATGAGAGTTATTATTTCATGTTAGTGTTATTTTTCAATTTTTTTAGTTCAATCACATAAAATTAGCAGAATTTTTTTTTTAAATGGAGGCTATCATGGCGTTCTAAAAATGTCGCTAAATATTATATCAACAGTTAGATTTTTTAAAAAGAGATACGACGGCGTTTTAAAAACATCGCTAAATAGCTTGGTGATGTTATAGTAGAGCTTTTAGCGGTGTTTAATATAGCGACGTTTCTAAAGCGTCACAAAGTTATAGCGACGGCCGCGTCTTCGGCGCTTGGTGCAAAACGTCACAAAAGGTTTAGATGGCGTTTTTAGGACCTATAGCGGCGTTAAAAACGCCGCTAAAACCCTCATTTCCAGCAGTGAGTAAAGACAAACCTTTAAACACCAACTGACAAGAGACGTGGTAGTGCAAAAAAAAGATACGAATTTATTGAGGTTATGCTTGGATCATTGAAATGGTTGAAGAATTTAAAAAAAAAAAAGAAAAAAACTTTATCGATAACTTCAAACATGTAATACATAAGAACAAACAACAGTAGAGCGAGTAAGAGTAAATAGCATAATAATAAACCATCCTAGTCCAATTAGGTTGACATCAGGAAAGCTATACAATCATACGCTACCTCAAGCTTTAGCGGCGTTTAATATAGCGACGTTTCTAAAGCGTCACAAAGTTATAGCGACGGCCGCGTCTTCGGCGCTTGGTGCAAAACGTCACAAAAGGTTTAGATGGCGTTTTTAGGACCTATAGCGGCGTTTTTTAAACGCCGCTAAAACCCTCATTTCCAGCAGTGAGTAAAGACAAACCTTTAAACACCAACTGACAAGAGACGTGGTAGTGCAAAAAAAAGATACGAATTTATTAAGGTTATGCTTGGATCATTGAAATGGTTGAAGAATTTAAAAAAAAAAAAGAAAAAAACTTTATCGATAACTTCAAACATGTAATACATAAGAACAAACAATAGTAGAGCGGGTAAGAGTAAATAGCATAATAATAAACCATCCTAGTCCAATTAGGTTGACATCAGGAAGGCTATACAATCATACGCTACCTCAAGCTATGAGTTGGCGAGTAACCAACAGGGGTAGAGGGAAAACAAGAACAAAATAGCAATACAACACCAGGCACCAGACTACCAGCATCCAAATACCATACACAACCCCAACCTAAGCATACTCTTATCTGTTGTGTACAAAGTCAATTACAGAGTAATGCCACTCCTTGGATGAGGATTTTAGCCAAGTTGCTACTCTGATTTTTGTAAGTTCAGAAAGTTCCCAGATATCCGGTTTAGCATCATTGAACATGCATTCGTTCCTAAGCTTCCAAATGGACCACAGAGTTGCTAGAGGGATAGCTCTTTAGATTATCTTCTATTGTTTCTTGAAATTACCTCCTTCCCACCATATCAGCAATCTCCCAATGGGAATTGTTGAGATTCCTGTAGCTGCTGAGGGGAATTGTTGTTAAGGTTCCTGTAGCGAGTGGTGTTACGTGCTTGTGGATTGACAAGATTGAACTTTTTGGGATCATTTATTGGGTCATAATTACCAAACCCTTGAGAGAGAGAGAGAGAGAGAGAGAGAACCAGTGAATTGTGACACCGAAACATCTTGTTGTATTGAGATTAAACAATGTCCCGAGAAGGCAAACAGCATGGTCATGGGAATGACGGAGGTGGATGGCAACCAGTGGTCCGTCGCCATGGTGGCAGGGGAGTGTGGAGCAGCAGGGCAGACGTAGCCATACACTCCGTTTTTATGGATAATATTCCAGAATCTATGGGGACTAGAGGGTTATATAATATCTTCTCTAACTACGGGGTAGTCATGGATGCTTTTATTCCAAACAAGCGAGGAAAGATGACACGATCTCGATTTGGCTTTGTACGTTACAATTGCTCTGTAGCAGCGGACATGGCAGTACAAACAGCACATGGGCTTTGGTGTGATGACAGAGCACTAAAGGTCAAAATGGCGGAGTTTGAAAAGGTGTTTGGTCCGAAGGCCAGGTCGAGACAAGTACCACAGACAAGAATGGCTGCAAATGAAAGTCTCAGGGTTACTGCTGGATATCAAAGGACCAGGTCCTTTGCTGAGGTTGTGAGAGGAAGAGGTATCCAAACTGCTACTGTCCGAACTATTCATACTGTTGAGGAAGGCAATGGTTGGCTATACGAAAGCATAGTAGCAAGGTTAAAACCATCCTTCTCAGTGGTTGATTTTAAGGAGGAAATAGTAAGGGAAGGCTTTGGGGATGTTAAGGTGAGACTGGGTGGGGGAAGAGATATGGTTCTAACCTTCACCTCAGTTGAAGATATGAAGGTCAAATTTCAGGAAATGCAAGAGTGGCTTAACGCATGGTGTGAATCAGCTCATGTATGGCGGCTTGGGCTAGTGCTCGAACAAGAACGACATGTCTGGCTAAGTTGTTATGGAGTTCCACTAAATCTGTGGAGTTTCTCTACATTTAGCAGCATTGGCAAGATCTGGGGTGCAGTGGATGCTATAGATGATGATACTCTTCGGCTAAACTCCTTCCACTGTGGTAAAGTGAGGATAGCCACGACTAGTATGGATACTATTAATCACACCATTAATCTGGAGTGCAAAGGTACACTACACCCTGTACGGGTGTGTGAGGAACAAATTATAGTTTCTAAAACTTTGCAGGATCAATGTGTATGCCAATCCAATAAATGGAAGAATGGAGTGGGGTCATCTTTAGAGGCAAGTGCAGAGGCCCAGATCACGGACAAAAGCAGCAGGTATGAGGAAGAAGATGACGATGTGGAGGTCCAGATGGACAAGAAGTCAGATCTACGGGGTGAGGTGGAGGTCCAGCTGGGCAAGAAGTCAGATTCACGGGGTGATGTGGCTGGAGTGGGTACTATTGTTTCACCTATTCTTGCAGATGCACTGGACGGGGATGATAGACTGAGAGATGTCTCAGTGGTAGTTGAAACTGATATGATGAAGGAAATGTCAACGGAAGGTGGTGCACGCATAAATCAATTGGTAGAGGTAGGGACGAGCTGCAAGCAGTGTGGTGATAATGCCAGGCGTAGGGTAGATGGTGATGTATATACTCCTGGGTTCATTAGAAGTTTAAGTGGGTCTGAAAGTAATAGGCTGGGTATTCACCTTGAAATGGCTTTTGATGGGGCCCAAATGGTAGGTGGGTTGGTTGGGTCGGCCCAAAGAATTGAGGGGCCAGCTCAACTTGATAAGTCTAACTTCCAAGACCCTATTACTTTTCTAGGGGGGCTTGATCAGTGTGCTAACCGTAACACAGTTGGCCCAAAGAGTTTTTTAGCCCATACTTCAACAGCATCCGTCAGTCCAGCAAGGAAGGAAAAAATGAAAGGTAAAGCACTACCAGTTTCAACAAAACAGTTTCAGAAGCAGCAAATGAAAGGGAAATTTGATGTTTCCACGGGTTTGGGGGCATCTTCATTGAATTTGAGGAAAGGAGCAGTGTTCAGGTCGGCGGTAGTGGCCATCTCACTATCAATGGCAAGCAGAAATAGTAGAGGAAGAAGATTATTGACGGAGGCGGAAGCTTCAATTCAAATAGGCAAAGCCCTCGGTCTTGAGTGTGAAGGCAAAGAAGAGGAGGTGCTTAGTAAGTTGCATGATCTTGAAGCTCAAGACAAACAAAGAGCAAGGCCGGGTGAAGGGGATGTGAGTTAGATTAAAACGATCGGCTGGGTAGAGGGTTTTCATATGCTTATGAAGATACAATCCTGGAATGTGAGGGGGATTGGAAGGCCTGAAAAGAGGAGACAAATAAAGAAAAGTCTTGCAGAGAGAAAAGTGGATATTGTACTATTACAAGAAACCAAGAAGGCAGTAGTTGATTCTACCTTGGTTAGGTCTATGTGGCCTGGGGATCAATTTGATTTCATAGCAGTAGATGCGATTGGGCAAGCTGGAGGGCTACTATGTATTTGGAACCCAGAGGTGTTTTTCCTAAAGGATTGCTGCAGTACCCAGAATTTCATCCTTTAATCAGGTACATTATTTTCCAGTTTTGATTGTGTTATTATCAACGTTTATGGCTCTAACGAGGTGGCTAAAAGAAAAGAGACTTGGGATGTGTTAGTGAGGTTGAAATCCAATTTCTTGGGGCCATGGTGTATGGGGGGTGACTTCAATGAAATAAAGAACATTTCCGAAAGAATAGGGTGTTCGAGAAGGGATCGTGGGATGAGAGACTTTAACAATATGATTGAACAACTCGAGTTGATAGACATTCCTATGTTAGGGAGGAAGTTTACTTGGTGCAATTCTCA